GTTCCTCAAAAAAAGAAGAAAAAAGGCTGGTGAGACAGCTCAGTGGAATAAGTGGCTGTTTGGCAAGCGCAAGGTCCTGAGTTCTATCCCTGGTAGCGTCACAGGCAGCCAGTTAGATACAAGCATTATTGGCAGTCAGCCAGGGCCAGGCCCTGGAAGGAGATAACACAGAAGACAAGATACCTTACAGCTGTGGGAGGGACGGTTGCTCCTGCTGTGAGCCAGACCTAAACACCAAAGTTCAAACAAATGCTGACCCGCCTAAAGATTGGCATCAGGGATTGATCATCCCCCTGTGAAAGCCAGGAAGAACCATTATCTGATGGCTACCAGACAAAAGTCCTGTTCTACATGCCCGCTTGCTACATGCTCCCTTCCCCATTTGGTCCTGGACTTAATCAATTTTACCAGAGCAATGGTGCTTAGAATCTTATTGGTTGACCACAGTTTTGTCCCACCCTACATCCACCTCCACCGTAGCCCCACATGGCTTTACACTTGCTGGAGGACTACCTGCTTGGGCCCCTCCTCCCTTCCCTCTCCTGAACAGGAGCTTTCTTTCCCTCAATAAATATATTCTGCTTCCTTCTTCTTCTTCTTCTTTTTTTTTTTTTGCACAACCAGGGATTGAACTCAGGCCCTTGTGCTTGCCAGGGAAGCACTTAATCCACTGAGCCATCTCCCCGGCCCCTATGTTCCTAAAATTAATTCTTAAGGTTTTAGAGAACAGGAACTTGTCCGGTCAGGTCGGGAGATCATTTTTCTCCCATGTCATCTGGAGGTCACCCACCTGAGACCAGTTTTTTCCCCTTATCAATACCACCAAAAAAACCCAAACAAACAAACCACAGCTATTCCCCTTGTAGGTATTTTTTTGAAAAGAAGTGAATAATCATATGACAGCGATTTATGTGAACCCATGTTTATAGCAGCACAATTTTTAATATCTAAGTATTAGAAACCACCCAAATGCTCACCAACTGAGGAATGAAAAAACAAAGATGTGGTATTTTTACACAATGGAATATTACAGCTATAGAAAAACATCCCTCAAGACCTTTATAGGTAAATAGACGCAACTAGAGACCATCATGGTAAGCGAAATAAATCAGGCCCATATGTACCAACATTGGATTGTCTTGTTAATGTGAAAACCAGGAAAAATAAATAAAATCTGCAAGGTACAATAGATACTGTGAAAAGGAAAGAATCTTTTCAAGGGGAAGGAAAAACTAGGATGAGCAAAAGGACAGACAAAAGAGAAAAGGGAGGGCTTGGCCAGATAGCTCAGTGGATTAAAGCGCCTGCCGGGGAGAGGGGTTGAATCCAGCCTGCAGAGCGGGCCGCCCTGGGGTAAGATGGGACAGTGATTGAGACTGGGCCTGGGGGCGCTCCGGTGACCCCTGTACAAATACAGAGGTGAGACAAAAGCCTAACGTCCAGAGGGAGCAGGGAGCAATAAACAGCCCCAGGAGAACTGTTCTCTCACTTGTAAATTCCGGAGAGCTGGGATTCAGGGCTGCAGATAACAGCTTCTCTGGCTGGCGCCCTGTTCTTTGATCCTTTGTTTGGAATGTTATCAGCTAGCATTCCTGGGAACCTAGTGTTAGGCAAATGGTGGAAGCCGATAGATAGAGTAGTTTGTGTTCACCAGGGTAATTATACACATTCCTTAGCCCGCCTTTAGCCCTCAATCAAGGTGAGATGCTTCTGAGGCTCTGGGCTCACTGAGAGGAATCTCAGGGAGACCTCTGGAGCTATATTCATCGAGTTTTCTGCTCTCCTTGGCACTGACATGATAATAATATACAACAATCCCAGCACTCGGGAGGCTGAAAAACAGAAGAATCACTACGAGACCGATCTGTGTAGTGAGACACTGTAGACCCTGCACTAAATATATGAAAGGGAAAAAGATGTAAGTTAGGTATATGTGCAGGATAGCTTGGATGGATGATTGTACTTCTGAAGGGCAGTTAATGCTTAAATATTTTTCTTTTTTTCCAATTTGCCATGCTTATTTTATTTATTTTTTGGCAGAACCAGGGATTGAACTTAGGCCCTTGCGCTTGCCAGGGAAGCGCTTAATTCCACTGAGCCATCTCCCCAGCACCTGCCACGTTTATATCTGGTAATCTATACAACTAATTTGAAGATAATATTCTGGAATGCATCAACCACTGCTGAATTCCTATTACTCTGCTTAATGAAATTCAGTAACACTTCTGATACTTTTTTCCCTTTACCAGTTTGTATTCTCTTTAAAAAAGTTATTTGAATCATTTCTTTTACAAGAAAAGACTACCTCGGTCCACACTGGCGAGACACTAAGATCCTGACCCCTTTCCTCAGCATTCTATACTTTCTGGAAGGCCTCATTCAAATAGTCTGATCATAAAGAATGGTGAGGTTTTCTACCTTATAAATAAGGCACCAGCAACGGAAAATAGCCTGAGGCACAGTTGCGTTACAAGCCATATTAATGAGAATTAAAACAAGATGTGGCCAGTGAGACAGCCCAGCAGTGTAAATACCTGCTTAGGGAAGCTTAGGCAGGTATAGGGGCCCGTGCTTGGATCCCCAGCACATGTCACACCAGTCCAGCTCTTAGGGTGGGCTGAGCTGGCCAAAAAAAACCAGAACAAACAAACAAGAAGATGTAGCCAACTATAGATAGAAGACCAAAACTGAAGTTCCTCAGGAAACAGCCTTCTCTGCTACAAAGAGTTGCAGCCACTCTCTAAAGAGCCCAAGTTCCCAAAAATTTAAAGCGCAAAGTCACCAGTTTTTCTCTAAAATCCAAGTTTCCTTCACATCGTACAAGGCAAGCCACGGCTTTTGAGGCTCGGCGTGGTGGCGAGAGGCCTGTAGTCCCCGTGCTCCTGAGATTGAGGCCTTTTGCCACTGCACCAACCTGAACGCACCGCAAGATCCTGCCTCAAAGCAGTCACCTGTGCTCAGTGCCCATCACATAACCACACTCCGCCCATCTCTAACAGCGCTGCATAGAGCAGCCGCCCGCCGAGGAGGACGCTTCCAACAATCCGGGGCCATTGTTCTCATTTCCAAGGCAAACTACCCTAGGTGGGACAGCTGGGACCCCCAGGGCGGGTGAGAAAATGGCCTGGGCCCTTTACAAGTTGGAGAGGCGGCTTCTGCGTCCCAGCACGCGGCCGTGCTGGCAGCGGATGTTTACGGAGCTACTGCTTCACGCTCCCCTTCAACAAGGTCGCATCAACAGAACAAGTTGCTACACGAGTTGCAGGAGTTTTCCACTACAGCCAATAAACCAGACCCCTAGCAGGAAGTCCGAAATCCAATTATGCAGGGAGAGGGTAGCTATGGGCCCCCACAATACTGAAACTGAGCTACACGTCAGACTTG